AGGTGCACAGAGTTTTCTGCGGGGATCCTACTCAAAACCTGAACTGTAGATGATTGCAGTACGCTCTATAGGACCGTAGAACTACACGAAGGCACGGGTGCCAGAATTTGTGCTACATTATCTGGCTGGGGGTTCCTGCGTGAGCAAGAAACTTTTATGAAGGGCTAATATGTGTACAGTATGCGCGTGAGATCCAAAGGCATTAGGGGCACATGGGGCCTGAAACTGTCACAAACCAAAGACGACAAGAAAATCAAGCCAGGGCTCCTTGATCCACTTCAGAAGGCTGTATATATGGGCATTGGACCTATAATATTAGGGGTACATAAACATTCTAAGGCTCTTATATTATATTGGGGTGCCAAGCGTTGGCCGACGGCAAGCCCAAACATCCCCCCAGAAAACCGAAAGGAATCCTACGAACCTTACAGCTATACCATATTTATAGAAACCATTTGCCAAAATCAAGCGAGGGCTCATTAATCCACTTCAGGTCACCGCGGCAGCTGCAGAAATGAAATCTGAAGTTGCCAGCGTGCCAAGGGTGAGCTACATTAACGTCGGCCATGTGCTTGAACTTCGCCATGATAAACTCCACGATGTCATTGTGGGTGAATTCACAAGCAGTGTATTCAGCGTAGACAGTCAGAAGGAATGTCTGTAGCATGGCTTCGTTCTTGTTGCCAAAATCAGAACCCCACCCAATGGCAGAGATTGCCCCGGGATCCGAGTTCCGATAGGCTTCAACATCGTCCCCGTACAGGTAGGTGGGGATGAGTCCACGGTAGGCGCGTTCTGCTATGGTGTTCGCTTGAAACCACGAAGCATTCTGCTTTGCGTTCTTCCAGAACTTTTCCGCACCAGACGGGCCCTCCTTGCCAAGGAAAACCGCTTCGAAGACATCAGCGCCGAGTTTCCAGATTGCTTCTGCCAGCGACACTGGGCACAAGACAGGAATGTTGGTTTCGAAGATGGCTTCAGTTGAAGGGTCAAACATCCTCACGGGGGCGTTATCGATCTTGATGCCCATAGATTTTCCAAAAGACCTGATAGTGTTCTGAAGGTCTCTTTCAGCATTTTGTGGATGCTTGCCACAGGCTGCAATTTTGGAGATCTTCCCCACCAGATCTTTTGCTTCTACGTTGCCACCCATAGCCTGACACCACGAAACCGCGCCCGATGCCAGCTGTTGAACCTCATAGCAATTAAGACCCATTAAGGCCAGGATTGTGGGAAACGATGTAGTTCTCTATGTTTGGGATGCCAGGGTACGGGTTATTTCAAAAGTACTGGACAGAATCTTTGTATCATGATTATATAGACCCAGAAGCATTGCCCGCGCTGCTTGTTCCAGCTGCATAGTTTCGCACCAAGAGCTCACCGAACTCATCTGGGTCCTACAGGGTATACTTCATGTTCTACAGAAGGGTAGGTTTGAGGGTAATTAAAAGGCGCCGAAACCGCATTTGAAAAATGTGCTCAAACTGAATATTGGTGGGTTGGTAAATGCTTAACTTCATCTTGATGCTACGAAAAATATCCGGAACTGGATGCTGCAAATTCTACACGCGCATCGTTTGCCCAAAGTCAAACCTCCGTCTTAGGCTTCTTTGGGTCCACAGCCGCTGATCCAGCAGACGGACATGGCCGTTTGGCAGCAGCAGAAGCTTTGGCTTTCGCGATCTGAAGTCCTGCGTGAGTAGTTGGTGGGGACTCTGCTTGAGGGCAACTGTAGGCAGTCGAACCCAGCCGATTTTTTGGGCCCGCGCGTTCCCATGTTTGCTCATGATGGATTTCCCCATGCTTGCAAGCCTACAGGATGCTGCGCCCCGAGGCATTGCGTGCCCCCTAACAGGCTCAGAGTAAGGCAGGAAAATGCTCTTGTACCGCCGCTTCGAAGGTTCAGGTTCGTGCCAACACCATTCAAAAGCCAACACGACATCCTATTATTACCCTATCAAGAGCCGACAGAACACCTGCCCACCCGAGCCCATCACAGATACCCAATCAGGCACAACCCCGGCTGCGCCCAGGTGGCAATCACTCATCGTCGTGGGCCACTTCGGCCTCATTTTCATCCTGCGAAGCAATGGCACCATCTGGTAATACAGGGGTATAGACAGGCAGAGCACCCGTTTGGTTTAGGCATGGAGGTTCTCTCAGCTTTAGGGTGGGGGAGATACGTTTGCGGTCAGTGAGCAAGAATGTCCCCTTGCTTACCCCACACTAAAAAAACAAATCCTGAATGCTGTTGCAAAGGTCATATTCTACTAGTAGGGCCACGTTTATAAATGTTTGCAGGGCTATTGTAAGGAGCAAGAAGCCCTGCGTACAAGCTTGGAAATGCGGATTGCGCGGGTCATATGAGCTATAATCTAACTTTGCATAGGGGAATTATATATAGGGGATATATTATTCTATATAAGGCTAATATATATATATATCTAGGCATCTATACAGAAGTTTTGATTATAGCTCATATATAATCTTCTGGCAGGGCCACGTCTCAAGGGTTATTCAAGGCACATAGCTTGTACAGGTATACAAGGCTGTGGTTCGCTCCCAATTCCACTAGTGCGTCAGAAAATTGAGGGGCCGATTCCGGGAGGTACGC